TTTTATGCCCTAATATATGGCCAGTTTTTGTAAAGGTATCATGTTCTGCTGAGGAAAAAGTATATTCCTTTCTATCCCCATTCAGTTCTTTCCAGATAGCTATCATATAGAAGTTATCTAAGACTCTATTCATCTCTTGACTTCTTTCCTATTTGTATTTTGTTTAGATTTATCTGGTTCTGAGAGGGGAAGGTTGAAGACCTCCACTATTATAGTTTTACTATTGATTTCCACTTATAATTCATTTAGCTTTTCTTTTAAAAATTTGAATGCTATTGCATTTGGTACATATAACTTTAGTACTGATATTACATCATTATCTATGATATCTTTTCTCATAATGTAGTTTCCCTCTTTATCTCTTTTAATTAAATCTATTTTAGCTTTAACTTTGTCTGATATCATGATTGCCACTCCTGCTTTTTTTGCATCAGCAAAATCATAATAAATTCTACTCTAGCTCTTTATTTTTACCCTTTGTGTAGCTCTCATTTTTAAATGTGTTTCTTGTAAACAACATATTGTTGGATTCTGGTTTTTAATTCATTCTGCTGTTTATGTCTTATGTGTGAATTCATCCCATTCACATTTGAAATTATAATCACTATTGTATTTTCTTCCAACCATTTTTTCCTCAGTTTATCCTTCTCTCCTTTTTTTTACCCTATCCCTCCTCAGACATCTAATTTACTTCTGACCACTGCCTCCCTAATCCTCCCCCTTTTCTAAGAATCCTTCCCTTATCCTCTTCTGTTGCCTTCCTTTTCCTTAATCTACCCACCCTTCTAACAGTCCCTCACTTATCCTATCTTCCCACCCTCTTATTTCTCTGTAAGTTAAGAAAACCTTTATACTCTTCTAGATGTATATGTTATTCCTTCTTTAACCTAGTTCTGATGAGAATAAGATTCTAGTACTACCCACCCTCCATTCCCTTCTATCCTCCACTCTCAACAGTTCTTCCATCATGCCTTGTTTGTATTAGATAATTGCTCCATTTTACCTCTCCCTATTCAATTTTATTATTTAGGAATATCCCATCATACTCAACTCAACTCCAAGCCTTCTATCTATATACGCTGTTTCAAACTACCCTGGTAATGATAACATTCTCTTTTTAAGAAGCCATTTTGCTTTTATTTTTAATAGTATTTTATTTTAACCAATTATATGTCAAGACAATATTTAGGATGTATCATCTATCACCGGTCCAGTCTCTCCAGTGACATAGTTATTGGCAGAAGGCTAAGGGAAAGTACAATTCTGCCTCTGAGCTCATTTCCTTTGCTCCTCCCCCTCCCCCTAGTCCCTTTTTATTATCTGGCTTTGGGCTCAGAGGCAAGTCTATTTCTTTCGATTAATCCCAATATATTTGTCATCTCATTTCATCTGCTCTCTGGGAGGATTTCACTCCTTGAACCTAGTTTACACCTTTGATTGATTGGTTGATTCAATGGAGGTGTCTAGAAATTGTTTACACCTAATTTACATTTGATCCAGTCTATAACTTAACAGAAGAGGTATTTTCTACTGATAAAATATCAGGACTTAAAGCAGTTTGTTAATTGCATTAATTGAGGTTAGGGGAAGGTGTGTGAAACATCCGTCTTACATAATGGTTGTTTTTTTTTTCTCCAATGGTACATGGATAGGTTGTAAGGTTTTTGTTTGCTACATGAAAAGTATTAGGTGAAAAAAGAAGGCATCGGTTCAAACATCTCTTAGATAACTTTTCAAAGGGACTCTGGTGATCCAAATTATTGGCAAAATGTCCTAAATTATAAGGAAACAAAGCAAAATTAAATCGTGAATTAGACGTTTATTATTAACATATTGGTTTTAGATAGGTTGTATTTATAATACAATAGTTGTGTGTTTATGAATTTCTTATACACTTTGTGGTATGCTGAGGTATTTCATACAATCAAAGAATGTAGTATCTTTATATCCATCTTAAGGGCTTTTATGTGGAGGCAAATGTGATATTAAGAAAAAACATTAAATTTGAGATCAGATTATATTACACATCTGCTGAGATATAGCAGCATGACCTTGGGCAAGTCAATTAACCTGTGTGGGCCTCAGCTTGATTTGCCATATGAGAAACTTGGGAAAGGATGATCACCATGACTTGGAGCATAACTTCATGTAGCTGTCATTCCTGTTTTTGTGACATGCTACTGATCATATCTATGATTTATTTGATTCTGAGTCCTCAATTAGGATTTTAACTGACAATTATGGCATTATTCCTGTGGGAAAACATGATCATGACAATCTGACATTGTTCCCAAAATGAATTGTGGTGACCAGTTAGCACACTGTCTTTACAATGGGTATGATAGATATGGCTGTGGGGTAGAAGCAGTTAATTTCTATCTAAAGGGTGACAACTTCCATTCTAATAAAATTTTTCTTCACATTCAATTAAACCTTCCCTATTTACAATGATAAACTACAGATAATAAGCATGATTGGTGGGTAAACCAGTTGTAACATTTTGGGTTCAGCAACAATGGAAGAAACATTTGTTTTATACCTACTATGTACAAAGGGAAAGCTCAGTGGATATAGCCATGGGCCTGGAGTCAAGAAGAGCTAAGTTCAAATCAGGCTTCAGACACTTAATAATTGTGTGACCCTGGGCAAGTCACTTAAGCCTGATTGCCTCAGCAAAAAGAAGAAGAAGAAGAAGAAAAAGGGCCAGGGACATGAAGACAAAAACCAATGATAGTCCAGCCCTGAGATGAGAAAAGATTTAATGCTAATAGTAGAAGCAGGGGTTTAAAGGAAGAAATGGATTTGAGAAATATGTGAGAATGCTATCTCTTGTTTTTAGACAGCTCCTCTCTCCCTCTTTAGACAATTTTTGGTACATGAAAGAACTTTCAAAATTCAGACCTTTTCTTTTCATTTCCCCCCCTCTTCAATACTGCTAAACAGGTGTGACTTTATAGGTATGGGTAATCTTTTCATACCCTAGTTGAAAGTCTTTATGAGTTGCTGTGTCAAAAATAACTTACCAGTTGATGGCCAAACTTTTGGAAATGAGCCTTTCTAAACTTAGCTTGGTTAGTCCTCAGTTGACAGACAAACAATCCATCACTGCCCCTATACTCCCTGGTTTGTTAGGACCTGCCAGGGTTCAGACCTTATCAAGTATGGGTGAATTCAAGGTCATCTCCATGGCACGATAAGGCAACAGGATAAGATTTTGGTGAGGTTGGGTGGGATTCAAAGACTAATAAGAATAAGTTTCTGCCTTCCTGAAATTTGAGATCTAGTAGGTAAAATAAGGCACAAAGATGAGAATTTGCAAAATATAAGTCTCAAGTGTGTGGAGCTCCTTCCAACAATGTAGAAGGCAGTGTAGAATTGCTAGGGGGTTGTTTGAGGCACATAGAAGTTGGGTGAGTTACAAGTAATTGCAAGAGATACAATTTAACTTCAAGTCCAGAACAATCCACTACCTTATTTTGCCTCCAAGAATTGTACATAGATAATGATCATTCACTCATTCAGCAAGCATTTATTAGGCTCCTACTATGTGCCAGGCACTATGTTAGGGATGCAGAAATTAAATAGAAACAGTTCCTGACCTCAAGCTTCTTGTAATTTATTGGGGGAAAGGTGGTATGTATATAGTAAGTACTCAATAAATACTCCTTGAAAGAATCATTCATAAATTAATGAGTAGTGTTGAGCAGAGATGTCGAACATGTTCCCTGCAACAATCCTGCATGTAGCCCAAAACAGATTACAATGTAACTGGGACATATTTAACAAAACAAATAAAAATGCAGTAAAACAGATAATGTTAATATGTGATTTTCTATGTCAATATGGCTTGCAAGGTTCCTTAAGCACAGTTCAGTGGCCATAATTTCTGTTTGAGTTTGTCAACACTGGTGTAGAAGTCGGACTCCAGGCTGGCAGTCTCAAGGGAGGATTAATGAAAGAGATGAGATTGGAACTAAACTTTAAAGAAAGGTTAAAATCTTAAGAGTTGAATATAGTGAGGTTAGTGGACAGGTGGGGAGTGGCTATAGCCAAGACGAAAGGAATGACATAAACAGTTACAGAGCTAGAAAAACACCAGGGAATGCCTGCCCGATGGGGAATAGACTAACTTGGTTAAAGCATAGAGTAACTTACAGGGAAGCAGAAATAGACAAAGCTGAAAAGGTAGGCTAGGGTTAGATGGTGACTGGCCTTGTGTGCCAAACTAATGAAACTGGACTTTTTTCAGTAAGCTATGGAGAAGGCTCTTGAGCAGGAGAGCACAGAGATCAAAGGGAGATGAATTTGGCAATAGCATGCAGGATGGATTGGGGTGCCCTGGACTAGAGTGGGGGTAGGGGGATCTGGAAGGAGACCAAAGCCAAGGAAACCAGTTACAGACATATTTTCAGGGACTGAGGATAAAAAGACAGAAAATAGAGAAGTCTCTGTCCTTGATGAGCTTGCTTTTTACTGGGGAGGTGAAAAAAGCAACATGGCCTTGTAGCAACCCTTTTGTGTGTTTTTTTTTTTACACATGCTCATGTGGGTGGGCCAGGTACCTAGAAAGGCAGGGAATTTCTCTTCTTAGGATTCCATAGGTAACTCTGAGTGGCTTCGAGTTTCTTAAGCTGTTGCTTATGAGCCCCTACTGGTGTGCTTCCACTTGATTATCAGTCAAATAATTATTTTTAGAAAGATTACTTACTAAGCAGGTATGCAAGGACAATTGTACAGAAATATGCACCCCAACTGCCAAACAGGGGGTAAATTCTCTCTTTGTACACACAAGGTTTGTAGGAAGAATGGGTTCAAATTTAGGGTATCTGTGATCAAAGGGTAAATTCACAGTTAGTTCCTGGTTACTGGGAATCCTCATCTTACTTTGTGGAGACCTTATGAACTTTTCATTGGGTGTAGTTCTGGGAGTGAGGTATAAGTATCAGTGCCTTTGTTGAGTTCTGAACCTGCCTTTCCTCGGTTTGTCTTATTTGTCTTAGCTGCTGTTGCTGTGGGGAGTTACTACCAGTATGAACAGGAACTCCAGCTCTTCTGACCATTTGAAGTTCACAAAGTTGTCATCAGGTCAATGGAGTTGGGGAGAGGGAGAAAAGGAAATTCTGCTCTGGAGTCCTTTACTACTGCCATATATGACTATTCCCTCAACTGGCCTGCAACTGGAATGTTTGAAATCCAGGATGGTCTTACTCTTTTATCCATGGCCTCAAAGACCACGACTAATTCTTTTCAACAAATCACAAGACATTTCCAGGATGGGAGACATCATCTTCTAGTGGAAAGAAGAGTGGCTCTGGAGACCTGTGTGACCTTGGGCAAATCACCATTAACATCACTTGATGAGCTTCAGTTTCCTTAGACATAAGTTGGGGTGGAGGTAGGAGGGAATAAGCATTTATTAAGCATTTATTATATGCCAGGCAGTGCGCTAAGGGCTTTTACAAATATTATCTCATTTGCTCCTAATAACAATACTACCAGATCGGTACTATTATCATGGCCATTTTACATTTGAGGAAACTGAGGCAATCACAAGTTAAGTAACATGCCCAAGGTCACATAGCTAGTAAATGTTTGAAGCCAGATATGAGCTTGAATCTTCTTGACTCTAAGCCCAGAGATCTAACCCCTGGACCACCTGCCTCTAAAGTTCTTTTAGGTCTAAATCTATTCTATGAGCCTATCGATTTCAGCAAATGACCTGAAGCCTCTATGATTCCTTCAAATTAGGGATTTATTCATACTTGGTTTACTTTTGATTGATTTATTGAATTAAGATGTCTAGGCTTTCATGATTAATAGGACTAGAGTGAATATTAATAGGCTACAAGTAAGTATGAAATACATCCAAAGTGTTTGGATGGGAGAAGTAACATCAGGAAGAGTCAGAAAAAAGTTTCTTGTAGGAAATGACTCTGGAGGTGAGCCTTGACAGAACTTCTGGGGTTTTTTTTGGGGGGGGAGATGAGGAGGGAGTACATTCCAGTCATGGGGGACTCTCTCTGCCTATGCCTGGAGATGAGAGATTTATACCAGGTAAGTTTCTCTGGAATTAGAGTGCTGGGGTCGGGGTGGGGAGGAAGTAATGTATAATCATCTTGGAAAGAGAAGTTGGAACCACATTTGGGAAGAGCTGAACAGAGGAGTTTGTGAATACAAATATTTCTCCAGGCAATACAGCCAGAGACTAATGTATTTCAGTTCTCAAATAAAGGCTGCAAGAGTTAGTGGAAATGACCAATTGGGAATTAGGAGACCCGGTTATAATTCCTTGTCTGCTACTAACTATGGTGTTGTAATATTGGGCAAGTCTCTTTACGTGAAGCCAAAGTTTAGTTGTTGTATCAGATAAGATAAAGCAGGTACAGTGCTTCAGCTATTATCATCATTGAGTTCTAGGCTCTGTGCTAAGCGTTTCTTACAAATATCTCATTTGATCTTCACAACAACCCTGGGAGGTATGAGATATTATTTTATAATTTTATAATTATTTTATAATTGAGGAAACTGAGGCAGACAGGTTAAGTGACTTGCCAAGGGTCACACAGCTATCAAGTGCCCAAGGCCAGATTTGGACTCAGATATTTCTGACTACAGGCCCAATGCCCCATCCATTGTGCCATCTAGCTGCCTACTTGAGGATAAGGAGCTTATTTCCTACTAAGGAAGAAAATAAGGATATGTAGGGTGTTGCCTGTGTAAAAAGTATCTGGCCACATGGATTGTCTAAATTCTACTTCTGGGAAAGTATGAATATCTTTGGAATATTGCACAACCCTCTCCAAGGGAGATTTTGATTCCTGTCCATAGTGGAGTAGAAGAAGGGGCAATGAGGCTGGAGAGAGAGAGAAAGAGAAGGGTGAAGACTAAAATTCCATGTCTCTCCTCTCTACCCCCCATCCTCAAATATTTCTGGGCTAGGGAAATAATTTTTTTTAAGGTTCAAATAATTTTCCTTGTTGCTATCCTTTAGAGGGACATTAAAGGGCTTGACTCCCCACTAAATGCTAGTTACACCAAAGGCTGGCTCAAACTGTGAATAGCAAGTAAACCCATTTATATGAGAGCAAATAGAAAAAAGAGAAGTTATACAGACTAGAATATACCAGAAAATATACAGAGTGAATGAACTCTTTAGATGGGAGCAAACTGTTCCAGATCTATCAAAACCCTGAAATTTTGGGGGAGATAAACTAGAAATCAGAGATGTACTTAGGTGCCCGCTTTTCTACATGTCTGCCACTTCCCAAACTTTTTTTTTCTTCCCATGGGTGTGGTTGGAACAAACTTCTAATCCCTGCCACCATGCAAGTTAGACGGGTTTCTCCTTAAAACTTATTGAGACTGTCCTTAGGACTTGGTTAGCTTAGGGAACAAAAGGCCCAGGCTGTTGGCATTACTTTCTAATTAACTACAAAATAACAAGGAAGCCCCTAAGACAGGGGTGGGGAGCCTGCAGCCTTGAGGCCATATGTGGCCAAACTTGAAGACCGAGGGGTACCACATATGGCCTTGAGGCTGCAGGTTCCCCATCCCTGCCCTAAGACCCCTAATACTGAGCTTCTGGGAAATGACGGGCACCTCAGGCAAGGCATTCAGCTTGGCTCAGCAGAATCCACTTGGTGTTCCTAGTAACTATCTTTGTTGACTCTCTCTCCCCTCACCAAAAGGCTAAGTAAATCTTTTGTTAACGGTTGGATGATCTGAGTGTGCATTTTATTCCAAAATTAAGCCTAAACTCCCAGAGCACCAACCAGAACAATGAGTCCTTCCTAAGGGAGAACCTGTGTCTCTCCACGAAAGAATGAAGAATAATGACTCTCTTCTGCAAAGCTCTTGTACCAACTTGTTCCCTCATACATACACTCTTTGCACCCATTGGATATCACATCTCAACAACAGCATGAAAAACTAAGCAAATACAAAGTAATTTGAGGAGAAAGGGAAGGTTAGCTAGGGGGTAAATGTGGTGGTTGGTGGCCTCTGAGCTGAACTCTGAAAGATCAGAATTCAGAGAGGCAGAGTTGAGGAGGGAGCGAATTCCAGGCGTGCAGATGGCTCCTACAAGGCTGTAGGAAATGGAATGAAGAGTGCTGGGACTTCTAAGAAAGGTCTTTGATACCGTAGTTTAAATCTAAAAGTTAAATGTTCTCCGAATCACCGAATCTCAGAGTTGGGAAGAACTCTCGCAGTCAGCTAGTCCAATCAATAATATCTTCCCAACCCCAACTCTGTAAGCCATCAGAGAACTTTGCTCGTAAATTTCCAATGAAGGAGATTCTCATCTAAAGATAAAAAGTTGGAGGTGTTATTTTACTAATCCCATTAATTTCACCTGAGTACCTGAATTAGAAGGGTTACTAAATGTAATACAAGCCTGGCCAGTGGAAAGAGCATGGTAGACCTAATTTCTAGCCTTGGATCCCGCCACTAGCTGGCTGGGATGACCTTGAGTAAAGCTGGTTCCATCTCTAAAAGAAAGAGTAGAATTGAATGATCTTAAATGTCTTTCAACCCTAGAATTTTATGATTCTTAAAAAAGAGAGGTAGATGGCCGTCGTTGAAGAGCACCATGCGTTAAGACAATCGACCTGGAGGCGAAATCACCCCGCTCAATTCTGGCCCGGAGGCTTGAGGTCTCTTCAGCCTTTGAAGTCCCTTCACCTCTCTGGGTCTCAGTTTACTCATTTGTGCTTTGCCTAGCTGATCTAAAGTCCCTTCTAGCTCGGACCTGTGAATTTGTGGTTTGAGATGAGTCATTCCATTGGTTTCCAGAGGAAAGAGTGGAGGAGGTTCACGGGGCGGAGGGGGGTGGTGATGGAAGTGTCCAACTTCGTTGTAAGCTCTCGTTAATTCCTCGGTTTCGGGGAGGGGGGTCTCGTGAACCCCAGGTCTTTTCCGAGTATGTTTACACTGGGGTCATTTCGTCTTCTCCCTCCCTGGCGCCGGATTTTCGGATGCACTTGACCGTGGACGGGAGGGAAGGAGGGAAGGAGGGAAGGAAGGAAGAAAGGAAGGGTGCCGCTCTGGATGGAGGCTCTCAGGGTAAAGAAGGATCGCATCTCTCGCCCGTTTCTTGGGGGTGTTCCATCGTACTCTTCGCCGTTGGAAGGGAGAGCATGCGTGCACACAGGGAGCCCCCCCAAGACCCAGACCCCCGCCCCAGACGGGGCTGGTGCGTGGCGCAGCTCCGGGAGCCTGCAAACGCCCACTTTTTGGGACTCGGAGGAGGTTTTCAGTAGAGCTCTCGAGGAGGCGGGGAGTGGGCCAGACAGGGTTCAAGGGCATCGGTGGCGAGGGGGAGGCCGGCCCGCCGAGGAGTCGCGCCTGGGACAAGGGTGCGGCTCGGGCTCGCGCCCGTGCTGGGGAGCAGGGAGTCCGAGGGGCCAGCTCGCGCCCGGGTTTGCGCGGGGGGGAGGGTGGGGGAGGAGGAGAGAGCAGGGACAGGGGTGGAGGAAGGACGTTCCCGCTCCTGTTCGCGCTCGGGCCGAGGCGGGGGTACCGGGTGGGGTGGGGTGGGGCGGGGCCGGGTGGGGGGGGGAGGCTGGGAGCGGGGCGGAGGAGAGGGGGCGGGGCTGGCTCGCGCTCGGGCACGCCCGCGCACGCGCGCCGAAGGGAGGCTGGCGGGCTCTGACGCGGGGCAGCCCTCGGTTCCAGCGCGCGGCGGCGCTGCTGAGGCGGCGGCGGGAGGAGGGGGCGAAGGCCGTCGGGCCGGGCCGGGCGGAAGAGGAGGCGCAGGCTGAGGGACGGGTCCCCGCGCTGCGGACGGCGGCGGCAGTTGGAAGAGCGGCGGGCTGGACGGCAGCAGCAGCCAGCTGCGCAGGGAGCCGAAGGGCCGGGCCGCGCTCGCCTCCCGCTGCAGCCGCCTCCGCCTCGTTCTCGTTCTCGCGCGCGCCCGGGCGCCGCGCATGGGCCGCAACCGCCGTGGCCGCGGGAGCCCGCGCCGCCTGTAGGCCCCGCGAGCCCGCGCCCCGCCGCGCCCCCGCGGGTAGGAAGATGAGGCGGGCGGCCACGGGGCTCCGCCACGGCAGCAGCAGCAGCAGCAGCAGCAGCAGCAGCGGGAGTGGGTGCGGGAGCGGGGCGTCGTCGTTCCGCCGTTTGGTCTCAGCTGCCGGCCCAAGATGGCAGCGGCCGCCAAGAGGGGCTGAGCCCGGTCTGGGTGGTGCCGCCTGCTGAAACGCCTGGCTCCTGGCTCCGTGGTCGGCCGCGCGACGGACATGCCCCGGGCCGCCTCTGCGGCCGTCAGCCGAGGGGAGCGCGCCGGCCTCTAGGAAGGTAAGGACCCCCCCACCCCCGTGCTCGCGCTTCCGGGCAGTGGCGGACCCCGGGGCAGGACTTGACCTTCCCCTCCCCCGCCCCCCTCGGCTCCCCGACCCTCCCAGAGCGTCCCCTCCGGCGGGGCCAGGCCGGGCCGGCCTCATCCCAGCGCGCCCAGGTCCGGAGCTGCCGGAGGGGACTTCCACGGGCCCCCGTCCGGCGGCGGGGTGCTGCTCCCGGGGACATCTGAGCTCGGACGGGGCGGGCTACCCCGCGGACCTTTCCGTCCCGTCCTTAGCGGTCGCGGAAAGTTTTGTTTAGTCCCCGACAACTCGATCCCCCTTGTCATCCATTACCCCAGACCCCCTTCCCCTGAAAACCCTCTTCGTGCATCTTTCCCCCCTTGTCGGTATAGAGCTCCCAGTAAAACCCCCGCTTCCTTCCCCTTGTCATTGCACTAGGTAAAAGCGCTCCCTCGTACTTCCTACTCTTGTCATTTCTCTTAGAACCCCCGTAACCCCCTTGCCATTGCCCTAGACCCCCTCATATAGTGATGCTCCCCTGCACCTTCCCTTTGCCGTTTCCCTTGACCCTCCCCCATAAAAGCTCTTCCCCCCCTTGTCGTTACCCTAGACCCCCACGCACCCGGCTTTCCCCGAGGCCCCCCTCCCCATAGCGTCAGGGGCTGGAGCCCCCCGACTGCCCCTGCCGGCGGCGGCGCGGAGGAGCCGCTGGGAATGGAGTGTGTCAAACTCCCGGGGAGATGCGTGCGTGCGCGCGCGTGTATGTGTGTGTGTGTGTGTGTGTGTGTGTGTGTGTGTGTGTGTGTGTGTGTGTGTGTGTGTGTGTGTGTGTGTGTGTGTGTGATTGTTGTTGAAAGAGAAATGTGATCCTGCGGCTCGGCTTCCAATTGCCGGAGCCGGGGAAGGCGTGGCGGCGGCGCGGCGGCGGCTGTTGCTGCTGTCGCTGCTGTCGTCTGAACTTCTCCCCTGCCGCCGCTTCGCTGGCGGGCGGGGAGAGAAACTTGTGCGAAGGTATCAAAATATGTCTCTATTCTGGTCGCGAGGGAGACGGACGTCTTAAAATGGTACGTGGATCTCCGCGAAGAGTGGAAGGATTGGCGCTTTATAAAGGCGGGGGAGGGGAGGACTTTGGGTGTCAGCATTTAAACTCCTTTGGACCTGGGTAGTGAAGTCATAACATGCCGAGTCCTAGAACCAGGGTTTTCACGAAGTCGTGGTAGGTCTGATAGGAGTTGCATCTCTCCACCTGTCATGTTTCTGTTCACGAGCTGCTTCAGGCTTATGAAGAGACCTTGTTCTGTTCTGTTTTGTTCTGTTGGAAGCTCTGTTTTCTTGTACTTGGGGCATTTTGGGAACTGAATATTGGCTAGTCTAGGCTTTTCTATATTCAGATCGTAATTTTGAAAGAACTGCTCAAATACTTTTTTTTTTAGGTCTATTCTTTCTGATAGTATTTCCCTAAGTGGAAGTACTTAGGTGAAAACTTTTTTTTCCCCTCAGAGTCCATTTTTGAAGTTCATATTGCTTAATATTAAAGATGAGTTTTCCCAAAGAAGCAAGTTTCTTGTTTGATTAAAACTTTGAGCATGCTCCATGGTTACTTTTGTGATAATTTTTTAGAGCCTACTTTCATGCTAGTTCATGAGATTTGACTTTTAAGAATTTGGGATTCTACTATCCACCATATACTTAGTAAGACCAGATTCTGCTTATGGTTGCAACTGCAGTGCTAATTTTATACAATGAGCAATGATAAGGTCTTGATAGGTCATAATTGAGCTCAAGTATTATGCTTAGTATTTTAGGTAAACAAAATTCCATTAATTAATTATTATAATTCCACTTATACATTATTCTTTCTGAGTGCTGAAAGTAAGAAGACCAAATAAAGTTGCAAGACACCATTAAATCAACAAGTTATTTTTACATTTATGAACTGTGTGGTACATTATAGATGAAGATAAGATTCGGTAGTGCTGGTTTTTTTTTTACATCCTCCAGTTTTTACTTTAGAACTTTTTTGATTTTTGAAATTTGTTTTAATGTTGAAGAGATGAAAAGGTAAATTGGTGGTTCATTAGCATCAGGATATAAAGTGTGCCAAGCACCTAAAACTGGTCTATTTGAGACTTAATGTCTCACATATGTTGTTAACTGCAGTTTGGACAGAGGAGAACTGCATAATAATTGAATTCATTTAAATAATTTTCAACCAAATAGAATGAAAGTAAATTAGAATTGTATTAGAGTTAGATAAGGTGCATAAAAGTAAAGAACAGAGCAAAATGTAATGGATTATGATCATATTTATTTATTAAATAGTTTGAATACATACAGAAACTCAGATGATAACTAAACATATATGCCAGGCAAGCATATAGGGAATCAGGCTTATTTTATTTTCATATGAACTTTTTCACCAGTCATTGTGATTGTAAAATAAACCTTGTCATTAGCTTCTGGGACTGGAATTTTAGGTTCATATTCATGTATAATTTTGAGGTGGGAATCTTGTTAATATTCTCAGAAAGATGCTTTAACTCTTTCCAGGATGTTGCTTTTTGTGTGATTCTGTTCATGGGAAACTACAAAATCAAATAATTATAGGTTGATATAATGGTCATAGATTCTTGTTTTTAACTAGTCTTTTGTAGGAGCTTTAGGAAACAGCTTTCAAGCTAACGTTGACCAGTACACTGGTGCCCTGATTTGTTTGTTTTTGTTTTAAATATCTGAAGCATGAACACTCAGTGATAAGACAATATGGGTTTAGACAGGTGTGGGGAAGAATGCAGGAGGGAAAAAACGATCAATTTCAGAAACCTGCAACTGTTCATTAATAGTCCTTAAATTAACTAATGAATAAATCTCATACCTATAAAATATCCCACCTCCCCCAACATTTTTTCTCTTTCTATTTTTCTGTCTCTTTTAAATCAAGATGAAGTGTAGGATTTTTTTTTACACTGTACTTTTATTTTTGCTTTTTTTTTAATGACATAGGAAAAGTTAGTCTTCTGTGTCTTACTGTACACTAGCAATTTGTCAAATCTGTGTTTAGGACAGAATTTTCACTAATTTGATTCAGAGGTGTGAAGATGTAGCATTTTGAGGAGTCTTCAGATTTGGATTAGAAAATGAAAAGATGTCATCACGTAATTTATCTCAGAACCTTTAGCAGTCAAAGGAATATGTAACTTAGCATATTTAAATTTGTTACTTTTGTTTTTATCATTACATAATTATGATGCTGTTGCCAAAATAAATTAGGATGTTGTAAAATTCCAGGGTTGCAGCTCTCCTAAGTTCCTAATTTCTTGCCTTACTAAAGTTTAGAAAGCCTTTTTCTTTCACACTGATACTGTACTAAAGTACAAGCTGTTTCTCTGAAATGAACCTTGTAAATGGACCTTCTAAGCCTTTGTGACCTCCATTGTGATATGCTCTACATGGAAGCCACTCTTGAAGACAAAGTAGAACGTCAGCTTGTCCAGAATGAGGCAGCCCGTCTGTGTCTCTCTTTTTAAAGGCAGTATCCTCAAGAAGCATGATATGGTATTGCTGTTCACCTTTTAAATAATGTGAATTGCCTTAAACTGTTAAGATCTTTACCATGGTCAACCATTTGTTTATCGGAGAAATTTAGGTCAGTAGGAATCTTCTATAAAGCTCTTTATGCTTTGGGATCCAGCTGTGGAAAAAAAAAGACCACTTCTTAGGTAATACTTTAAGTAGTTAATATCAAATGAGTGATGATACAATTTTGGAGTTGAACTTTTGAGGATTGATGACATTTGTATCAGTGGAGGATATGGGGAGGAAGGGAAATACTTAGAATACATGTCATATGAGAACATAGTCCACTTATTTTGGTGGATTTAGTTTAAATTAAATGTGCTTTTGGGAAAAAAATTACTTGTTAGTGCACACCTTTTGTAGCTTTGTAATTTCGTTATTTTAAGTTTTAACTGTTTCATTTGTGTGGTGGATAAAAACTATATTGCATACGTTTTAGTTAAAATTAGATGTTGTGTTTTTAGCAGGTCAGGCTACTCTCTTCGGTTATTTAAAATTGTTTCTATGTGCCATGGAAATTGAACCATGGTAGTAGTATTGGTCATTGTACTTTGCCATGATTAAAGTACAAAACATTTCGTATTATGAAAATATTGCTTGTATGGTGTTACTAACTGGCAGAGGATTGAGCCAATTATATTTTTATGCTTTCAAGTCTGGCTTGCCATGGATATTTGTATTTGTATGATTTGAGATTGGGACATAGCTGTGTCATTTTTTTTTAAGCCTCCCTATAGGTTATTGAGAAGCTTTATTTACTTTTAAAAATTACAGTTATATTTTTCTGGTGCCAAGTCAATATTTCTGAAAGCTTTTTTTTTTTCCAGCCAAGTTAGGACCAAATTGTTAGACTATTAAATGTGCTGTTAATTGGATCCAAACCATTTATTTGGTGGCATAAAATGTGTTTTCATTTATGTGAACCAAGGGCCAAATTTTTAAAATTCTTAAACATATGGTATTTTTTTGGTTGGTTCCAAACAATTTCTGTGTGGGTGAAACATACTGTCATTTCACATATAAATACGTGAAAGATACTGAAAAGAAACCAGGGATGTTGGGTTGATTTGAGAAAAAAAATGAGAAGTATGTTTTGGCCTAAAAGCTCAAATTTCTGGAGATCAGAGTTCACTTATTTATGAAGACAAAGTCATTGAGCAATTGTGGTAGCTGGAAGGATAAGAATAGGCTAATGACACCTGTTAAATGATCAGTCTAGTTGAAATAGCATTAGCATCTCTGTCTCTGGTTTTATATTCCTTGGGTTCTACTTCCATCTTTTCTTTCTGTCTCCTGCTTCCTCCCTACTTCCATTTCTCCCCACCTCCCCTTTTTGGATTACTTCTTCAGAATGGAAAGGATTTACTTAAGGTGTGGTATCTAGAAATGATAAGACATTTTGAGTACAGTTTTTTAAAAGTTTTATGCTGTGGGTAAGGGCAGCTTAATTAAACACATGAAACAGGGAGCTTTAATTAAAACATAGGACTAGTCTACAACCTGTCATTTGACAAGTTTTGAACTTCATTACTCTGTTGTTGCTATTGTAGTCATCTTTTAATTAGGTTGTTTGGTTTAAGTTGATTTTTTTTCTTTGATTCCTATTTTTGTGTGTCGCTTGGAAAATTTTTAGTAATTTAAGTGGTTTACTAAGCCTGCCTCTTTTGTTTTGACTTGTTTTACCTTAAGGTAAAATTGCTACTAGTAAGTTTGATTTTAAGAAGTCAGGTTACTTTCCGCATAGTATTTAAAGGAAAATACTGCAGTTTACTCCACCATGCATTTTTCTCCTCTATGACATCAGTGGAATTGGTGAAAGAGTGTATCACCCTTAGAAATGTGACTACTAAGTCACTGGAGATTAAAAAAAAAAGGTTACAAGGAAGAAGAGGAATTACTTTATTTATGAATAATAAGACTGATGTTGATCTTTCTCCTCCTTTTGGTATCCTTTCTTGTAGGGAAGAGGTCATGAAGGACTTCTTAGCACAAATCCTGGTGAAACACAAAGATGCTGTGTCAATTATAAATATTTATTAAGCATCTTCTATGTGCCTGGCACTGTACTAAGCTCTGGTAATACACAGTCCCTACTCTCAAGGAGCTTACAGTTTAATGGGGGAGACAATATGCAAACGATTATCTACAAACTATATATGTATCTACTATATCTATATATCTATATATCTCTACTACATATGTGCAAACAGTTATCTACAAAACTATATTATAAATTGGATATATTGGGAATATATCCAGGATATATTGGATGAATTGGAAATAATCAACAGAAGGAAGGCACTAGAATGAAGAAAAGTTGGCAAAGGCTTTGTGTAGAATGTGGGATTTTATCTGGGACTTGAAGAAAGCAGGGGAAATCCAGAGGCAGAGATGAGATGGTAGAACATTTCAGATATGAAGGACAGCCAGTGAAAATGCTTGGAGTCTGGTGATAAAGTATCTCTTCTAGGGAACAGTTAGGAGGCCAGTGTCATTGGATCAAAGATTGGGATGGTGGGGGTGAGGTGAGGTGGAGATCAGCATAGAGAGAAGACTCAGATATAATTCCTTTGTATTTTGCATAACTTTATCACAGAATTCGGTTTGACTTTCACAACTATGGAAAAAGAGTTTTGTTTTGTTTTTTAAATAAATTTTGTGTCTGTGATTATTTCTTATAACTTATGTTTCTGTGATAAGACTATGAAATCTACTTGTAAACTAAAACATAATAGGAAAAAATCTGTTTGGATTTGTGAAATAGTTCCATTTTAGAAATTTTAAAAAATGAGTTGATTAAAACAATTACAGTAATTCCAAGTTATTTTGCTTTTTTCTCTTAAATGTTTTTCTTGGGGGCATATGAAATAAAATACAGAAAAAACTTAATTTTGTAGAATGGTGGACTCTGAAATATTTGCTGCAAGGACTTTGTAGAACTTTATAAAACAATCCTTTATTTATGTTTCTACATACTGGTTTGTCATCTGTTTAATAATACAAAAAGAATCTTACAGATTTGGAAAACTATATGACTTCAAATGTATGACATTGCCAGTTTTAAATCAATAAGTCAAGTAGAGCTTCCATGCTAAAAATGGAATTGGATGTCCTAGAGAAATTTATTCATTGTATAGTGTAATGTAAAGTTTTGTTTCTGATGACCCTAAATCTGCATCTTAACTTTTGTTGAGATGAAGTAAGGTCTTTTCTTCTAGTGATATAATTTAGTGGAAGGATTTTGGGCATTTTGCCTGTAAGATGTATAAAGCTTTGTGATAATCTTAAAATACCTGGAGGTGTTTGTTAGTTTCAGGTGCTTGTGGATAGATAGCTAGAAAACTTATGTTAAATAACAGAACCACATCTTTTTGAAAGTGAAAATTAAAAAAAATTCCTATAGTTAATAGGAATATAATAGTTAATTATAATTTGGAAGTATAATGATTATACCACAACAAAATTATTTAATTGTGTACATACAAATTTGTAAAAATTGCAGATTTAACAGTGATTACAACTGTAGCTAGAGTAATTGATTGCATCATCAAAGTTACTGTGACTTGCAGTATGTCAATGGAAAGTGTATTTAGACTTGAAAATTGATCTTGTGGCATAGATGATCTTAATTTTAAATTATTTTCACTTTAATAGCACAAAATTTTAAACAGGTTCCCCTCCCCCCTAAGTTTAGATAGACATCTTGAAGCTTTATTAGCTGTCAGGGATCAGGAATTTTTGTTAATTCTCTGTAAGACAGTACATTTTTCATTTAATACTTGAAGCCCTCTACTCCTAAACTTTTCAGCTCTCCTTCCATCCATTTCTCCCCATTTTTCACCCCTTCTAAACCTGTTCTTCATTTTACCACAACTTCCTGTCATTCCATCCTTCACTACTCAGGCCTCACTTTCTTTCCCAATCTGGACCCTATAGTTAACCAGTTTAATTTACTGTTTCTTCCAAAATCCTTGGCCTCCTTGTCCTGACCCCACTTATGCCTTGCTGTATCCCAATCCTGGGATTTTTTTCTGTATCTTTTTTTCGTACTTATAGGCTGCTGAAGAGAACTGAAGGAAGTCTCACAACCATGTTGAGTGGATACGCTGCAGATTTCTGTTATTTGATCTCAGCTTGGCCTTCACTGCTGCATTTGGCAATCCTTTTATTCTTTCCTGATTGACTTTCTGTAGTACTCCCCATAGTAACTATCTCAAACTTTCTGTAGTGCTCCCCATAGTAACTGTCTCAAACTTCCTTTCTTCTTTTTAATTCTCCTATATCACCATTCCACCCTTCAGTCTCCCCAAGGTTCAATAGAGAACCTTGCTTCCTACTTACTGAGGAAATAGGGGCTATCTGTCATACTTCCCCTTTATTTTACACTTCAGAAGTCCTCAACATCATTCCCCACTCCTTGCCAAGGGTAGCCCTTCTGTTTCTACCCTCAATCCTGCCCTCTCCCATCTCACCGCCTCAATCATTTTACTTCTTTCTCTGATCCTTATTCTCTTCCTATCTACTGGTTCCCAGCCTTCTTCCTTCAAACGTGTCTGGGTCTCTTTAGCCTAAAAAAACACTTCACTTGACCCTGCCATTCCTACAAGATATTATCCTGTATTTCCTGTCTTTCATAGCAAACCTACAAAAAGCTGTCTACACTCAATTGCCTCCATTTTCCTGTTTTCCCACTTTTTAACACTTTGCCATCTGGTTTCTGATTTCAGTTTTGTAGGTTTATCAATGAGCTTATTCTTTCCAAGGTTACCAGATCTTTCAGTTGCAAAATCTGATGGACTTTTCTTAGTTCTCAAAATCCTCTGGTTCATTGACAGTATGACTGCCCCCTCCTCTTGTGTACTCTCTCTTTACTCTCTAGTTTTTCATGCAATTGTGCACTGAGTCTTTTTTGCTGGATCATCAACCATTAACTATTGATGGACCAACAAAGCTCTGCCCTGGACCCTCTTCCTTTCTTTCTCTAATACTTTCTTGGTGATATTATCAGCTCTGCTTGGTATTTTTGTACCAGTTATCTTTGTACCAGTAAGATAATGTCCTAGACTCTTCCATGAGCTATGTAGTCTTGACTCATCCTTTTGGACATCGGCTATAAGTCCCATAGGCATCTCAAACTCGGAAA